CCACCTATAACCCTATCTTTTTACAATTTGATAAAAAAAAATATATTAACCTCAAAGGAGTGGGATAAAGAATTTATCGAAGGTTTAAATCTCTTCCAAACTCAAATTTGTTTTCTAAAAAAACAGAAAGAAAGAGAGAGAAATCACACACTTAAAATAAAAATATAGTACTGATGTACAAGCTGTGAGGAGGGAGAAGAAAAGAAAAGGTTTGTGAATGATTCAATTATAGGTGTGGATTCCATATGCCGTCCACCTTGGGGTGAAGAAATAAAGATGACAAGTATTCAAACTTTGAAATCATAAATTCCAAAGGGTCAGTGGGAGTGGGACATTGGACCCATTATATTGATTGATTTCTGAAGATAGAAACCTTCCTCAGTCACCCACCATTTTCTGGTAAAGCTTTCCTATTTTCATTAGAAAAAGGTATGCAAATATATACCTTTTGTATAAATGATTGAGTATTGGGTTGGTCCTGTTTCCTTGAAAAATCCAAAAACACTATAAAGTTAGGATTGTATTTGTCTCCCATTTTGTAATGCAGTCTCTAAAGTCTCCACTAGAACCACAGCCAAGAAAGAAAGTGTTAATGGCACAGCCAACCCCTATGACAGGTTCGGTGGGTAACTAAGCACAGAACGTTTTTGCCCTAATTGGGACAATCGGTACACTGTTGTAGACATTCCAACCTTATTGGGTCAGACAAGTTTCATGGGATTTCAATCCTTTTTTTTTTTTTTTTTCCTTCTGTTTCTGTAGTAGAGAAGCAAATTGCCTCACCTTTAATATGCATGACATTGTGGAAACTCCCCCACCATATAACACAATTTCTTTAGAGATCATCTTACTTTTCCCTAATCTCTTTCCTCCACCATTCATTTCTTTAAATTTTGTGTGTTTGTGTGTTCTATGTGAATGAGCTGGAATTGAGAAATATGGGGAAGTCCTGGGCTTTCCGAAGTATATGCACTTAAAATTAAAGAAAAGTGGAGAAAACGACCCGATCGGGTTCAATTTGTGTGAAAATTATAGGGAGCCCAGATGTGCACATGGGTTTTTTATTTTTTTATGAAAAATACTTGACTCCTTAATATTGAGAATTCATCATTGAAAATTTTGACAATTCATTATTTCTTTTTAAGTTTTTATTTTTACCTTTCTCTCTTACTTGTCAAATATATTTATGTGGTGGCAAGGACAAGATTGGTTAATGAATTTATATAAATATTTCTATCTCGTTATATAGCTCTTTGAGTAAATTTCAAATTCAAATTCATTAGAGATGGACTTACACATATAATATATAAACCATATTATACCAAATTCAAAGATTAAGGTGATTTGTACTCGTAGCTACTAAACAAAATTTAATTAATTATATCTCATAATTACAAAATATAACGTGCTTTGCTTTGCCCGATAAAGAAAATTAATTGTTGAAAGCAATATGGTATGGTGGCAAGTGGAATGAAAACTAATCATTCAAAAGCAAAACTTTTATCTTTTTTCCCATTAGATACAATTTATGCTCAACTTAGCCGCCCTCCAACCCCTTCAAACTGAAATGATCGCACCTACAAAAGCTTGTATTTGGTCATTACTGTCTGGGAAAATATAGAAAAAGAAAGAGGGATCATCGCATTAACATCGTATAACCCTTCATTTAACACATATATTTCTCTCTACTTGAGAATAATTTACACCACGTAGTGTCCAACTGATCTCCACAACAAGAACATGTAATTACTTTAAGTTTAATTAAGATTAATATGATTAGTGGATCTGATGGTGAGATTTGAATATATTTAGTTTGGTAATATTAAAGGAAAGAAGAAGCTCCAAAAGACATTGAACAGTGAGTAATCTTATCCTCAAGATCTTGTCGTCGAGGGGAATCCGATTATCTCAAGTCATATATCACCCTATTGGCTTTGTTCGTACCCACTCGCTGTGTCAACGTTTCACAATTAGTCCCTTCATTCATGTCTTTCAACAAAAAAAAAAGAAAAAAAATTAAATTCCTTCATTATTCATTGAAAACGATTTGACGGTTTTGCCATCATTATAACCAACTACCTGGGATTCTAAAAACTGTCGTACTATCATTCTGATTTATTATGACATATTGCAAAGAAACACCTTCTCAAAGTTTTGTAAATGATTATTAATTTATCTTGCACCAACGCGAGCATGATTTAATGGATAGAGCTCTTATTAACCTCACAAAAGTCGCTTCAGTTTACCATGGCAATTATTCAACTCAAAGAAGGAAAAAAAAACATCATCCTTGTTATAATTAACTTTTCTTTTTTAACAAAAATTTCTAAGTTTAAACTATTTTGTTTTATTTTAATTTCTTAACGTTTTTACTTATTTCATTTCAAATATTAGTTACTTTAGTTTAACTTATAAATGGTTGATAATAATATTCTAACAATAATCCAAATAATCTATATAAAGAAGAGGTAAAGTTTTTGTAAGTGACATTTATATTCTGCTCTCATCACTACTAACAAGTGATGATTGATGAGTAGCACTAAAGTTATTGACATTATTCCAAAATCCAAAACAACAAACTTCAAAATGCATTAGGTTGTACTAAAAAAAAATGCATTAGGTCAACTGCATTATTCTCATTTGCTGATCAATACTAATTCCCCCCAAGGACTGAAGGCCAAGTGATATGGTACAATATCACACCATGCTTTTGGGTGGGACTATACCAATGTTGTCTGTCCTTTAGCTTGCCTGTGGCTATGGCTTTCATTTGGAGAATGATAGAGGTCAAGATGACAAATAAAACAAGAGAAAAGTATAAGAGAAACACACAGATTTTATGAAAAAGGGGAGAAAAAGAACACAAAGAGAAGAGTCGTCCACTATAATCCAAAAATCTTATATACAATCTTTATATATTCTTCTTATGATGATAACTCATAAAAATACAATAGCTTTATTTCAAATATATGTTGATTGGAAAAAGAATGGAGTAATTTTGTCCAAGTTGGGTGGTTACTATGATCTGAATATGTTGGACAGGGGCCGTTTAATGTATTATAGCAAAATTGGAAACAATTACCATGTAAATTTAGAACATATGTGTTAACCGGTAAAATCAAGGTGTCATGCGTCTTAAGCCCATTCAGCCACATGGGCAGGGTCACAGAAGAACCATTGATACTGAGCACATCGGGTCCAATCCTCTGGACATTTCGTACTAATGACAGCCAGTGAGCAGGATGCTAACACCTTGTATCCAAATCGCGATATGCCTCAGATTATCATCCAGGGCCCCACCATGACTCCCATCCGAGGCACATCGGACTAAAGAGGATGTCGGTGGTCCCATGAACCCTGAGCACTGCATACCACCTCTTTGTGTTCCTCTCACACTTGTGAAACCTCTCTCTATATAAAAGGAGCATAGTAACTCTAATGAAGGTAAAATGTCAGTCCCTATACTACATAATCTCTTGGTGAAGCAAAATCTCACCTTTGAGATTATTGTCTTTCTACTCTATTTGCTCGACTTGAATTCTAACTTGAGCATTAAAGTGTATTTGGTAAAAGCACCACACCGGTGTTAGATTTCCGTAGATAGGAAATCAAAAACTTAGAGATGAAAGACATGGGTGTGGCACCTGTATGATAGTACTTGCGTGGAGTGCATCAAAAAATCGACAACAACCATATATATTTTTTTGGAAAAAAAAAACATTTTGGATCCTTATAGATTTCATATATTATCGATTTTTACAAGGTGACTCTTGAAATTTCTAGAAATGACTTCAATTAGCATTTATTATCACTTAGCATGGAAAATCTGGGATTCAGAATGTAACTTCTTTTTATTGATATAATAACGTAAATCTTTTGGAACCAACTCCATAGTTGAACGGATTAACTATCTATCTTCAACTAAAATGTTGTGAGATTAAATTTTTACCCGACCTCTGTACCAAAAAAATCAATATGTACCTCTTTGATTGAAGTTTCAAATTTCAATTGCCTTCAAAATTGGGTACTCTTTATTTCCTTTTGAAAAATTTTAAAATTGGTAACTGATGTCTGATTACCATATATGATTAATGAGATTCATTGTATAAAATGAATGTGTTTGACTTCATTAATTCTGAGTTAAATTTCTTACACTATTGCTTCCTTTTTTATTTATCTTACGAATGATTTTTTTCCTGATTATGAGTTGGTGTGATCTAGATTAATTTCCTAAATTTGAAATTACATTAGGAAGACTCGAGAGGAAAAATTGTCAATGTGACTTTCACATTTGTTATTGTTTGATTTCTTAATTTAATAAACAAAGTCCTAACGGGGTAGATATGAGAATATAATGATTATATAAAAAGGACAATCTCGTCAACGTGAGTCTAGTTCAACGGTAATTTACACCTATTTTTAATCAAAATATCATGAGTTCGAATCCTCTCATTCCACTCGTGGTACTAATTAATAAATAAAGAGTTCAGCTTCCTCTTCAGTTATATCTGTGTGGGTTGTCTATATAGCTGTAAACAAAAATCTTGTATTATATATCTTAAGTTAATTGACTGGTGTTGTTTAAAATCAAATTGAGTAGTTTACTAAAAACAAATTTAGGAAGTGTATAATAAATAAGGTAGCAAATTGCCAACCTGAGTTATTGGAGTTTCAAATTTCAATTTGCCTTCAAAATTGGGAACTCTTTTTTTCCTTTTTTGCAATTTAAAAATTGGTAACTGATGTCTGATTACCATATTATTAATGAGATTCATGGTGTAAAATGAATGCGTTTGACGTCATTAATAATGAGTTAATTTCTTAACAAATCTAGTTCTGATGTAAAGAAAAAGAAAAAAAAAATGCATGACGGGATCTCTGGAGAGAGTCAGAGACAGACAGCACTTGTAGTCGTAGTCATAAAGGCAATCCCAGATTCCCATTTTACCCTTCTTTGTCACCTTTATAAATCTTCTCATCACCTGTTTCTCAAACCCATCCCATATTATTCTTTCCCATCAAAGCTTCTGCAATTCTGTGCATGCAAAATGGCGATCGAGTGCATGACATCATCATCACCGGTGGAATCGAAAGCCGATAATGCGGCGTTTGGAGGGTCGGTCGAGTTCAAGGCGGAGACGGTGGTGCCGGAGAAGTTCATATGGCCGGACGAGATGAAGCCGGAGGACTCAGTCCCGGAGCTCCACGTCCCACATATTGACATGAAGAAGTTTTTATCTGGAGAGGAAGGTGCTGTTGAGGAGGCCATGCGGCTGGTGGACGAGGCTTGTAGAAAACATGGCTTCTTCGTGGTGGTGAACCATGGCGTGGACATGGGAATCATGAGAGATCTCCATAAGTGCATGGATGAGTTCTTTGAATTGCCTCTCGACCACAAGCAGAAGGCTCAGAGGAAGTTCGGAGATTCCTATGGTTATGCTAGCAGCTTCCTTGGCAGATTCTCCACCAAACTTCCATGGAAGGAGACCTTCTCCCTTCGCTATCTTTCTAATGAAGATCACTCCTCTGCTGTGCATGACTATGTTTGCGACACTCTTGGCCAAGAATTCTCCCACCACGGGTAACACTTTTTTTTGTTTAGTATCCTCCCTCTTTGAGATGAGACTTATCGATCTTGGTCAAAAATTTTTGACATGCTTATTGGAAGGTTTTGGACTTTAATATCATGTTAATATTTATGGATTTCGTCTCAAAATCAATTTTTAGAAGAGAAACCTAATTCTATTATAAAAACGTTGTTAAGTCATTTTATCTCTTAAACTGTGTTAACTAACACTAGTTAATTTGTTGTGTAATGTTCAGGAAAGTGTATCAAGAGTGCAGCAAAGCAATGGCGGAGCTGAGTTTGGAGATAGTGGAGCTTTTGGGGATGAGCCTTGGCCTGGGAAGGGAAGAGTTCAAGAAAGTGTATGAGGATAATGATTCAATACTGAGGCTTAACTTCTATCCACGATGCGAGAATCCAGAGCTGACGTTGGGGACAGGGCCTCACTGCGATCCCACCTCTATAACCATCCTTCACCAAGACCATGTGAGCGGCCTTCAAGTCCACGTCGATGATCAGTGGTACTCAATCCCTCCCACCCCCGACTCCTTTGTCGTCAACATCGGTGACACGTTCATGGTAACCAATTAACAAACCAATTACAATTACAATTACAATTATAATTACAATTAGAGTTCATCCTACTTTATTAATCACTTTCAAGTGGGGGTTTTTTGTTTGTTTAATTATATGTTGTTATAGGCTCTAACGAACGGGTTGTACAAGAGCTGCTTCCACCGGGCGGTGGTGAACTGCAAAGAAGCAAGAAAATCAGTGGCCTTCTTTCTGTGTCCGGCTGCGGAGAAATTGGTGAGGGCGCCGGAGGAGCTGGTGGTGAAGAATCCTCCGAGGAAGTTTCCAGATTTCACGTGGCCAATGCTGCTGGAGCTGACCCAGAAGTTCTACAGGGCCGATTCCAACACTTTGGAAGCCTTCACTGCTTGGCTTCAACAGCAGAAATTAGGCACTGCTGCGTCCAATGATAATAATAATTAATAACAATTATTATTGTTCCCGGCCATCTCTCTGAAACAACGTTAAACACAGCCTCTACTCCGATCCTCTATGTGGCAGCTCTCCTTAGTTTAGTTAGTTTATATTTGTTAATAAGTTTCAGAGTTTAAATTTGTAGGGAAAAGAAGAAGAAGATCTTGTAGTGTTTCTCTTTTGTGTTGTTTTGGACACTGCCAGAAAAGTTTAATACACACATATACATATCTTCTCTCTTTGTGCTTATTTTTGTTTTGTGATGCAATTGATTTACCATGAATGAAACGAAAAATAATTACATAAGGTGTATATGAACAAAATGAAAGAATGAATAAATGTGAATTTGATACTCGTTTGGAAATATACAATCAACCAGCAAATATTCCTTCATGATTATTGACAGCAAAAATATGTGTTGGTAAGCACAACGGACAGCAAAACTAATGATTTTGTGAAACAGTCAACTATTATTTGATAAGCATAATGAATGGGCGGGGTTCGAACTTATGACCTCATGATGGAGCTATGCTCGATTTGGCAAGTTCTCTACGTGTTTGCTTGGATAATGCATGGAAGATTGAGATTATTGTTTTGTGCACTAATGTTGTCACGCACCACAATGATCCATGTTATTTTAGCGGTTACAAGAGTTAATGATCGATATTTATTTTCGTGCTTGACGTGGCAACGACAAACATGTTGTTTTCGAGACAACAGACAAAAAAGAAAAAAAAAATCCTTTAAAAAATACACCATAGGTGGCTATATGGATTTTCGATCATGAGGAACAAAATACTCAATCTACATCACAATATGTCACTAAATTAGTTTTCAACGATGGTGCTATGTAGAAAATTATATGAAACATACCTTCTCATTATTTGTGAATTCCTCGGTCGTTTCGATTGGCTGTTATAAGACTTTGACTGCTGTTGATGATAAATAATATTTATTAAATTCTTTTTGCAAGATATCTATCTGAACCAATATTAAAAATCTTTAAAAAAATATATTAAAAAACTTTAAAAAGAATTATTTATTTATCAAGGGTTATTAAAAACAGTAACCTCTAGAAATGTAACTTTTTATAGAAGGTTGTTTGTCAGTACCCTCGAAAAAGATCTTTATTTATTATTTTATTTCAAAAGATTATAAAATAGCTTTATTAAAAAAAATATATATATCAACTTTAATTTATATCTAAAGTGGTTAAAAACCATCGAATTAATATATATTATTTGTTTAAAATAATAACATTTCTATTTACTTATTATATTCTAAATAATATAATGCAACCACGGCTCTATTGTTTTTGTCCAATCTTGCGATACTTATTATTGTTAAGGATTCGTCAAAAAGTGAAGTGATTCAACAACAGTTTATAATAAGTTATTTTTTTGACAATTAATTATTGTACGGTGGAATATAAATAATAATATACGGATTCAAAAATAAAATCCGATCTAAAATTAGTGAACCGAGAAGAGCATGACTACTCCTCTCAATTTTGACATGGAATTGATTATTTCATGACATAACTAATTTCAGAGAGGCGAGGCGTTTTGACGAATTCTTGGAAGGTTCATAGTCCTTTGTGCCTCTGAGCTTTGGTGTATGTTGTTTAATAGCTAGGTTTCGGTAGTCTATGGGTTTGAGGAGATTGATTTTCCGGTGCGTCGAGGCGTTGTTCATTAGGAAAGCAGTTTGGTGTTAGTGCACTTGTTTCAGTTGGATTCTGCCTGTTTACTGATTTTGTAATTTTCGACTAATTTGTTGAATTGCGTGAAAAAATGTCATGATTCGGCAAAATAATTTTGGCTGGATCCTATAATTTATTGTCACTCTTCTTGGTCTATGAAGATATGTTGTTAGATGATCAGTTTTACTTTTCCATTGAGACCGAACTTAAATTCGTGCTCGAGAGATAGTTCTCCATATATTGATAAGAGATGTATGGATTTTCGAGAAGAGAGGAGCCAAGGTGATCCCTCCAGATCGCTCGGATCCCACAGAGTGAAAAGATAGTTGGATCTACATTAGATCTCACCTGAGTCGCTCCATCTATCCTCCGGATGACAAGTTTGGTTTCAAACCCCGCTTTGAATACAGGAGAAGTACGTCATGCTAATGTGCCCTGGATGATCCACATCTCCTGATGAGCACATTGAACTATCATATGACTGAGAGCCCTCACAACCTAGGCACAACAATGCAATTATCAAGGGTATGCTCTGAACTAATAGCCCGTCGTGCGAGCCTCCCGCTGGGGGCCTACTATGCCAAACGCGAGAGAAACCCCATCCCTTCCTTTCCTTTTTTTTCGCTCTCATGTCCCTCAAACTAATACTAATTTATGAATAGATGAGATCGTCTCATTTTGGAGGATAGATGATCATTCAGAGACAAGCATAATCATCCAAAGCCAAGCATCCAATTCAGAGAATAGAAGAAGACTCGAAGACTAAGACTTTAAGATATATATATATATTTTTTTTTGGAAAAAGATCACTTCATTATGCATGTGAGAAACATATACAACAAAGAAGGGAAGATTAAATAAAAGCTCTCCAATTTAGAGAAATTATAGAAGGATCATAATTACAAAATAAAGAAGATTTTGATGACCAAAGAGATACAGATAGAATAATGTCTTCCCAGATGTTGGCCAAGGATTTTTCTTTATATGTGAATATGCGATTGTTCCTCTCAAGCCAAATATGCCAGATTGTCGAACTGATCGCATTACTCCACAGAACCGTTCTCTTGCAGACACTCTGAGATGAAATGATCGATACGTCTTGGAATTGTATTGCAAATATCAAAAGTGGAGAAGAGATTATTCCAGAGTCTATAGCTAATGGTGGGTAGTAAAGAAGCAGATGGTCAAGTGTTTTCGAGTCTGATTTGCAAAGGGGACACCGACCAGGGCTGTTATATACGTTTGGGAGGCGCTTCTGGATTTTCTCTTGAGTGTTAATGCCACGGTACATAGCACACCACAAAAAGAACTTACACTTCTTGGGAATAAGAAGCTTCCAAAGAGCCGAGAAGAAGGAAGGGGGAGTGAAACTACTAATGTTCCAGAGACTGCCTTTGAAAGATTGCACCGAAAAAAGGCCGTTGTTGGAGAGGACCCATCTAGGAGAGTCTGAGCCTTGAAGGTCCGAGGGGCGAGGGAACTCGGTGGTTCTCCATGACCATATAATCGACTCTCTTTGAAGAAGAAGTCTTCTAGGCGAGAAAGACCAAATTCCATGATCCACATCCCATGCTTCAAAAATAGATAAATATTTCCTGTTAGAAAGAGCATAAAATCTGGGGAAAAGCAGGTAAAGAGGACCTTTTTCAATCCAATTGTGATGTCAAAAAATGGTATCTCTGCCATTGCCAATCTGTCACTGAATATGACTGCTGAAAGAATCTTTCTGTTTCAGAATATAGAACCCGGGGATTTTGAACTTCCATATCTACTATATGAAGGTATAATATCAAAAGCCTTAGTATAGTATTTAGCCAATATAAGAGAAAATCAGACTATAATGTCGAGGCGTCCACTATCTTTTGGGAATTGAATTGTTTCAAGCAACAAATTCAAGCTACAAGCTAAAGATCCTCGATAAGTTCAAAGCTGAATAGTTCAAAGATTCTTCGACAAGTTAGAAGTCGAACAAACTAACTTACTCGTTTCGGTAACAAACACACACTAGTCTTCAAAGTCTGCATCCGAGAAAAAACATCTTAGTGCACATTAGAGAGGATAACATTCATATACATAAATACAAATAATCAAGTTGAATTATTTTGAGTCTTTCTTATAAAAAAATTTCGTGAGCATAATCCAAATAGTGAAAGAATGAAATATAATGTGTCGAGCATGCACGTGACAAAACAAAAACAAAAAAAGCACAAAGCCAAGATTTGTACATGGGTATTTAATATTTATTAAACTTTTCTGATGGCCAGCGTCCAAACAACATAAAGAGAAACACTACACGATCTTCTTCTTCTTTTTTCTCTAGAAAATAAAACTCTGAAACTTATTGACACATAAATAAACTAAACCAAAAGGAGAGCTGCCACATAGAGGTGGTAGGGCTGTTGAGGTACAAATTAAAGAAGGGGGACATTATTATTAATTATTATCATTATTAGTGGAGGCAGCGCCTAATTTTTGCTGTTGAAGCCAAGTAGTGAAGGCTTTCAAAGTGTTGGAGTCTGCCCTGTAAAACTTCTGAGTGAGTTCATGCAGCATCGGCCATGTGAAATCTGGAAACTTCCTCGGAGGATTCTTCTCCACCAGCTGCTCCGGCGCCCTCACCAATTTCTCCGCCCCCGGACACAGAAAGAAGGCCACTGATTTTCTTACTTCTTTGCAGTTCACCACTGCTCGGTGGAAGCAGCTCTTGTACACCCCATTCGTCAGAGCCTATAACAATAATTAAACAAACCCACTCGAAAGTGATTAATAATCAAGTAGGATGAACTCTAATTGTAATTGTAATTGTAATTGGTTTGTTAATTGGTTACCATGAAAGTGTCACCGATGTTGACGACAAAGGAATCGGGGGTGGGAGGGATTGAGTACCACTGATCATCGACGTGGACTTGAAGGCCGCTCACATGGTCTTGGTGAAGGATGGTTATGGAGGTGGGATCGCAGTGAGGCCCTGTCCCCAACGTCAGCTCTGGATTCTCGCATGTTGGGTAATAGTTAAGCCTCATTATTGAATCATGATCCTCGTACAATTTCTTGAACTCTTCTCTTCCCAGGCCAAGGCTCATCCCCAAAAGCTCCACCACCTCCAAACTCAGCTCCGCCATTGCTTTGCAGCACTCTTGATACACCTTCCTGAACATTATACAACAAATCGATCCATTAGTGAACTAACAGTATCTCTATGATCGAAGCTTGTTGTCTGGGTTGATCCACTGTGACCAGGCTACCACATTAAACAAAAGATGTGAGTAATTGAATTTAATTTTTGGTTACCCATGGTGGGAGAATTCTTGGCCAAGAGTGTCGCGAACGTAGTCATGCACAAGAGAGGAGTGATCTTTATGAGAAAGATAGCAAACGGAGAAGGTCTCCTTCCATGGAAGTTTGTCGGAGAATCTGCCAATGTAGCTGCTAGTGTACCCATAGGAATCTCCGAGCTTCCTGTGAGCCTTCTGCTTCTGGTCGAGAGGCAATTCAAAGAACTCGTCCATGCACTTATGGAGATCTTTCATGATTCCCATGTCCACGCCATGGTTGACCACCACGAAGAAGCCATGCTTTCTACACGCCTCGTCCACGAGCCGCATGGCCTCCTCAGCGCCACCTTCGTCTCCAGATAATAACTTCTTGATGTCGATATGTGGGACATGGAGCTCCGGGAGTGAGTCCTGCGCCTTGAACTCGTCCGGCCATATGAAATTCTCTGGCGTCACTGACTCGGCCTTGAACTCGGTGGACCCTCCCAAAGCCCCATTATCGGCTTTGTACTCTTCCAGTGATGGTGATGGGGTCGTCATGCATTCCATCGCCATTTTGCATGCACACAATTACACAACCTTTTAATTTGATGGCAGAGAATATGGGATCGATGGGTTTGAGAAACGGGTGATGAATCTGCCAAATTTATACGGGTGGCAACAAGGGTAAATTGGGAATTTGCGATTGTCTTCTAACTTTTATGACTACAGGTGTTGTTTCTCCCGAGCATGCAATTTCTTTCTTATATACATCAGAGATTTTTTCATTCATTGGGGAGATTGTTTTTGCCATTTTCTAGGTACCACCACAATTGTACGCAAGTATTTTAGTGCCACATTTTGTTTTTGTTTTTGTCTGCCTTTTTCCTTTTAAAGTGAGCTACATGCAATCTTTCCACGAAAAGAGTGACAGCGGTATTTTATTAGGGTTGTGAAAAGAAAAACAAAGTGCGGGGAAGAAGTGATCAATAATATATATACAATTTTTTTTTTAGAAAATATAAGTAAAAGACAATTATCTCTTTTTTTTTTAATTTTTGTGAAGGAAAATACTTTGCTCCTCACTCGAGCAATCTTGTCTACACCACCTCCAATATTTGACAAAGAAATGCAAAAAACAAAAAAGTATTTTTAAAAAATAATGAGTTGTCAAATATTAAATGATGGTGTGGATAAGATTTCTCCTTACTACTTACTAGTGAGGAACTAAGTAGAAACCATTATATTTGGAAAAATACTCTTGTCCCTTAATAAATTAATGACAGTTTTGTGTTTTTTTGCGAAAAATATCAATGGCAGTTATTTATTGAAGATAAGGTCAGAATTGTGATTTATTGGGAACGGTAATTATTTGTTTCTTCTTTAATGGTCATGCAGTTGACAAAGTAGGCTAGTCTAATGCGAGTTTAACTTAATGGTAATTTACATCTATTTTTAATTAATAAGTGATGAGTTCGGATCTTCCACATCACCTGTTGTTGTACCAAAAAAAAAATAGTCTAATACCAACAAAAAAAAATTTGCTTCATTCTTATTCTCCCATTTATTTTTTGAAAATGGTTTAGATTTTTTTCTCGTGTGGATCTGAAGATTTAAACTCACAATCTTAATCTTTCGATTAGGTTGAAGTGATTTAACCACTTAAGCTACCTTAAGATTAGTGATTTAAATTCTATTTATTTTAGTTTTAGTAATAAATTTCATAGAGTAAAAGCAACATGTTTTATTTTATCTATCTATTTATTTTTATTATTAATTTTTATATATGCAAGTGCCTGAGTCAGTTTACATGGATCACGGCTAATCTTACGAAATAACTACTTGACCCTACCACATTTGATTGTCATGATAAAAAGTTATGAAATTGTTTTAAATCAATGTTAAATGATTAATGGTAAGATTAAAATTTATATATACACCGAAATAAATCTTTTTGCAAGTTTATTATATTCTCTCGGATTTTTTTTTTAATATTTATTCCTTTCATGTGTTCTTAGCCATCTTCAGTGAGACCTAAATTCTGGACCAAGTTAACCGTATCTTCAAATTCCCTTGGAAACCAAACAACTGACTTTGTCTTCTACCGTTGAATCCGCCAAAACTTTAAAAAGTAAAAATTAGGATAAAAGGTAATTTAGAAAAATATCAGTTTTTTTTTCAAATTTTAATTAAGATTACAAAAATGTTTTCAATAACCTCCTTGAAAACATTCTCTCTTTTCTGTCTCGATTCCTCCATTTCATGGGTTTTACTAACAACCCTTGTGTTTTTTTTTTCAAAATGGAAAAATCTAGAAAAGTAAGAGCGAGAAAATAAAAATTTTCTTTTTCTAAAAAACCGAGTAGTCTGTCAAATTCTTAAGGATAGTCACTAGAACAATTCTACTAATCAATTGATCGATGAGTAATATTCTTTTTCAAATCTATTTTACATATTTTGAAGAATCTTCATATATTATTGAATACTCTCACTTTTAAGATAGTTTTTTTCTTTTAAATATATATATCCTGGCGTTAGCAAAGAAGTTTATTAATATAATCTTAAGTTAATTGATTAGTGTTGTTTAAAATCAAATTTAGAAATTGTGTAATAAAATGAGGTAGCAAATTAAGAATGAAGATAATTACCAAAACAGGGTTGGTTTCATATTGTTGCTATCTTCCAAAATGGGGCATCACGTGGAAACGCAGATGTTGGAGTTTGGTTTTCCTTTTCATTTTGTATCCCCTTTCTGCATTTCATTATTCCCCGTGATTATATGGGAAAAAAAAAAGGTTTGAAATCCTACCCCTATTTCTGCATTTCATTCTCTATTCCACCAGTCTCAAACAAAATTAAAAGAAAAGGCAACGAAGTTCAGTTCTGAGAGATGGATTTGAGAATTGAGTCTCCTAATTCATGGAATTTATTTTCTTCAAAGCAACTGAAATTTGAAACTCCGTAACAGGTACAATATATTGATTTTGATGTACTCTTCCTTTCCTTTTTAAAAATCTAAAAATTGGTAATTTATTTTTAAATCTAAAAATTGGTAATTGATTACCATATTATTAATGAGATTCATTGTATAAAACGACTGTGTTTGACGTCATTATGAGTTAATTTCTTACTCTATTGCTTACAATTTCTTTTATCTTATGAATGATTTTTTTACATGTTTGTAGATTAATTTCCTAAATTTAAAATTATCTTGCTAATATATATATATATATATATATATATATATATATATATATATTTATTTAGTAAGAGATTTATCTTTTATCTACCAAATATTATGGTTGGGTTTGACCGGTGGAATTTAAATTTTATGTTTGGAATATTATTTGTTTGAATTGCAAAAAGTTGTCATTTAGGGTTGGATTTTTCCTTGTTACATTACTTGGTTGCCTGTTATGGCTCACACACATCCAATTTTGGATTCGTCACTTTTTGTTACGTTATTTGATAATATCAATCAAAGATTTTGCAACACTTTGCAGCTCTACACACATTCATTCGTCATTTTCTTTCTTTGACCGATTCAAATTCTTGTCTCCTGTAAAAGTTGGCAGAGGTAGGATCTTAAGAGCAACATACAACTTGTTTCTCGGTTTCTTGTCTAGAAAGATATGCTTACATCACTTGAGAAAGTTCAAGTGATTCTGATTAAACGAAGCTGAGATTCAGCTCAGAAATATATCATCCACAGGGACGATTTATTTCTCTCCATATCGACCTCTCATCCACCCAACAACTAGTGTTAGAGATAAAGATCACATTTTTAGTGAAGCTAAAAATAATTTTATGTGTTAAAATTTTGAACATTTTACTAAATGGAACTCTTCAATATACATGCACAAAATAGGATCTTACACGGTTATGATATGGTGAAGAAGAGAGCATTGGTTGGAAGTTAGAGGCAATTGAGGGCATTTTGTTTGTGTGTGGGGGTAATCAGAGGTGCTGCTGCTGCTGATTTCTGATGATATGGAATTTAAATTGCAAGTCCAAAAATGAAAGCAGAGAGCAGAGCAGAGGGATCACATGAGAGACTTGTGATCCAGAACAGCTGTTGTCTTTTGTACTTTTTCCCCACAACCAAACTCTTCATTTTGTTTTTGGTAAAACAATCCAACATGCATTGGTACTCACTTTATTGCATTTTCATGCATTGGTACTCTGGTTTCAATTTTTATCCATATCATCACGATTCACCACAAGATTAACTCATGCAACAATATGTACAATTTTTTAATCTTTTTTGTTTCCATACACCAAATTTAAAGTTCTATAATATATCTCAAGAGTCAAGGTTGTGGGTGGCGAAATGAGGTACGAAAACCTTAGTTATATTTGTTTACAAGTATGTAGACTGGCGGCATCGGTTTTTGCCCAGTTTGTTCCATAAATAATTGTTGTTTGTTTTGTTAAAAGAAAATAATAAGAATTGAGAATAATAAAACATATATTACTTTTGTAAAATTAAATAGTACCCAAGTCAAGAACGTGTGTGTGTCTATATATATATATATTTACAATAGTATACATTGCTGACATAAGAAATAATATAGTTGGATAGTCAGTCAACTTAGATATATTTTAATTGATTAAGATATGTATTTTTGATTGAGTAAACACTATAAATGAAAATTTTGATTCTCATTCCTAAATCGGTTGCAAGAGTAAACTTGAAAATTTCAAAAGATCATGACCTATTTAGGCTTTTTATAAGAACATATAATTACAAATATTTGGAAAAATATAATAGGAAATAGGAATATGGTACATAGTTCTTCGGCGTGGGATCGGGTCAAACTCCGAATGACCATACGACTCAACTATCCACGATGAGTGGGCCCGCCGGCTAACAGGGCCCACTTTAGAGTTCTAAACTTGGGTTGATACATATTAGCCCAAACTCTAACATGGGCCGAGATTTAGTGGCCCCTAAGGGTAGCTGAAATACTAGCCTAATTTACGTAAAATATTAAAACAGCAGTTTAAAATATAATAAAATATAAAAAATGAAAAATACGCATTTTTTTTTACAAAAAAATTCACCTTTTTCCGGTGCAACCTATGAGAGTAGATATTCGAACTCACGACTAATTGATCGAATACATAGGATAATTAACGATTTTATAAGATTATAGTTAACGACTATCTATTAATTACATTCAAACCATTATCAAGCTTTATTCTATTTTTTATTTCTACACACATTTCATTGTGGCCTATAAGCTTTCAAACATTTGAAGCTAACAAACTTTCAAATATTCTATTTTAAATCTTAAAATTTACATCAAAAATTTATTGGGTAAATTAAAAAGAATCAATTACTCCTTAACTTGACTAGGTGTATTAATTTTTACCTTAAACTTTTAATCTTATCATTTAATCTTATCAAATTCCATCTGTAAGCTTGGACTTCTTGTAAAATTAGTTGGTGGTCTCTGGGTCCCTATAATCGAGATTGTTGTCATAACTGAGCCACATGTATTTGTCACTATGCCATCCCTATAAGGAGGATTTGACATGTAATGATATTTTATCATTGGATTTAAGCAATTAATTTGAAATTTTTTAGAAAACAAATGAATTGGAAAATAATTTTTAAAAATAAACGAAAAAAATTTCACATGAGAAACTCGATACACCAGATTTTCGATACCTACAAAATTTCATGAAAAAATTTACGAGCGTGAAAAATTAAAAGGGAGTGGGACAAAGATAGGAAAGTCTTCCTGGTCTACACCCCTTTTACCTTTCTATCTCAAGTACGATATCTACTTCACTTCTTTTCGGTTTTCACAACAAAAATATAGACAACACTATTAAAATTTTTATCCTCACACTATATATAAACTTAAAACTTATTAAATTGATTTATCAGCAAAAATCTCGGAAGAGGTTGATAAAAGGAAAAAAAAATTATAAAATTATTTTCAAATAAATAAAATGAATCAGGAAAATTGTAAAGGACTTTATTAAAATATCATGTAATTTAGAGTACATTTGATGTTTTCATTTTTTTTTCATTTGTCAATAGCTACTCTTTGAAGATCGGTGTAGTTGATAACCTTTATTTTTAATCTTCATTTTAAAATGCTATAAACTTTGGAACAAAAAAAATCTTGATTTCTTATTTCAAAATAAACACGCTGTCTTGCTAGCTCGTTTTCCCTATATATTTGCTTATCAACAACCTATTAAAACATTAACAAAACAATAAATAAAATGATTGTTCTTAATAATATTTTAATTAAAAAATATTAGATATAGATAACTCAAATTCTTTAGAACCCCATCCAAGAAACTCATTGACATTTTCCCATCAGTATAAAGAACCCTTTTACCGAAATTCTCATTCCTCTACCAATAGTTTTAATTTTGATAGAGGAATTTGTTAAGAATGCGACGTAGACACAAAAATGAGGGACGATTCAAGAGCATTTTTTTTATACATCTGAATCTCATCTTTTTCATACCCAAAAAAGTAAAAAAAGTAAAAAAAAAAAAAAAGAATCAAACAAACTAATTCTTTTTAATTAAAAATTTTCAAAACTATGCAAAACTGCAAATTATCATTAAACATATATATATATATATATTTGAGAAAAAATTATCATTAAACATATACCTATTTATATTAAGCTAGAAAAAACACATTAAGAAATAAAAAGTGGTTATCATTAGAAGTAGATTGATTTCTTCCCAAAGATAAATATTGAATAGAAAGCATTATTAGATGACTATTCCATAAACCCTAGAGCCAGATTTTAAGTCAAATCACACAGTTAATCCAAGGAATAATGTACAAAAAGCAAAGGAATTTAAGGCTTAGCTAAGCATCTGCATCGTCTAAACCCTCCTAGTTTTAATCAAATGGCAAGGATTCAGCTAAGAAGTTACAACGTCTGCATTAGAAAAATCATAATCTCATTTCTTCCACATAATGAAACTCAAGTAATAAAATGAAGAATTAGTTAAGCAGCAAGTGAAAAAAAAAATTGTAGAAAAGCAAGGTAAAAAAAAAAAGCACAATGCACACTCATCGATAGAAGGAAACTAAGATATACCGATCAGAAACCGAGAAGGAAAAAAAAACACTGTTGAACTTACACATCAGTCCTGAAAGTTGGCTGATTTGATCTCTGATTAAACAAATCGGCAACCACTTTTTTCCATCAGCCGCCATTTCTTGAAGCCAGAGCAGCCACAGAATACCCACTTCCTCTCACCACCCTTCTCTTCAGTCTTCAGTCACTTCTTTTTTCTTTCTTTCTTTAAGGTATTGATTCTCTCGAGAGATATAACATCAAAAACCCAAAAAAGAAAAAAGAATAATAATAATAAAGTTTTGAGCTTTAAGTTAACTTGTCCCGACACCACCGTCACATCAGCCCCCCACCGCCAGAGACGACTGCAGCTGCAGCAGGTGGTGGTAGCAATCGGCGGCGGTCGGCCGGAGCTCAGGGTTGTGATCCATGCACCGATTCTGAAGCTCTGTCAACATCTTGGGAAGGGCAGTTAAGCCACAAGTTTTTATCAAATACCCCACGCCCCACATATCCACTTTCACCCCATGCAAACCCCGCTCCATCTCCGGCGCGTGCCTCCCACTCGTCGCCGCCTCGTGTGGGTATATCTGCGGCGCCCCCACCGCCTCCTCAAACCCACATAAAATCCACTCACCGATTCCCGATTCTTGTTCTTCCACGTCACCCCTCTTCTTCATCACCTTCTCCCAATTTATATCTCTATGCATAAAGCACAAATCGTGCAACGCCACCAGCGCTTTGGTCACGTGCTTCAGAGCCTCTATCAGCTGATCAAAGCTCGTGGGTTTCAACTTACAAACCCGTGGCTTGAAAACCAAGGCCAAATCTTTCTCGGACGATCCGAGAATAGCCTCCGAATGTGGGATTCTCTGATCCAAGAAATCGTAAATCTCTTTCACGGCGGCCCATTTTCTCCGGCAAGAGAAAATTCTGGTGACCATATTGGGCGTCATTTCTGCGACCATACCATTCCCCAAATCAATTCTCTCAAAATCACTGAAAATTGGCAATTTATTGCATCGGTCGGCCAATAGGGACAAAACTCCAGCAATTCTATAACATGGGACTAAGGCCTTGATTCTCTCTCCGGGCGTGGATAAATCCAACGAGTACAAATCGGTTCGAATGATTTGGTGATCTTGGCCACGGCTGAGTGCACAAAATGTTACCAAATACCCAACTGCATAATAGCCCAATAAATAAGGGATGTCCAAATAGGTCCAAAGAAGCTTCTCCACGATTGAATTAGAGGGATCGAGATGATGATGGTGAGTGGCGTCTTTGATTTGGTGGGTTTCTTCGCCTCTCCAAAGGCAGAAATTTCTGATGAAACCCGTCACGTTTGGCCATTGATCCTGCAGATTAGTGATGGTGGATGAATTGGGTTTGCGAATTATGGCGATTTCCATGCAGCAGAACTCGGAAATTAGGCGGTTGATGCAATCGTCCCAAAGGCCAATGAAGGAGTCCCGGCTTGAAGGAATTGTTGAAGAGTGAGTGCGAATGATTGGGCATACGATGTCGTAGATTAAGGATTTGCAATCTAATGTTTCGGTTGTGGTGCTGAAGAAGAGCTCTTTGCCTTGTGGTAAGTTTCCGTACACATCTTTCCGAATGGGGAAACGAAGCTCCTCTGATGGTGGGTCTTGAATGTGCCATGAGAGTTCTGATAAGGTTGGGAGTGATGGAGGTGGGATTCGAAGACACCCAATATAGTATTCGGTTGGATCTTGATATTCCCATGGAGAATTTGCTGAACAAACACCAAATAATTAAATCTAAAATTACCCACATTCAACAACTATTGAAGAATAATTTATCAAACAAGAGAAGAAGTTTCTAATCAAACCACAACATTTCTAGTATTCACATTATAAATTTTCATCCATAAATAATTATTTAATCTCACTCACTTTCGCATTGAATAACTTAAATTTACTGATACATTTGTTTAAGTTTATGAGTTCAGTTGCGATGCTAAATAGGAGAAAAAGTTATTAGTTTAAACACTAATGTCAGTATCAGATTAATTTTGACAACCTAGTCTATCTTATACTAATTTAAACTTTAAATCCGAGCAAAAGTCAGAAGTTTAAACCCTAATGCCAGTGCCTCTATAATCTAGTCAATCTATCTTATACTAATTTCTATTTCTAGGTGTCCGAGTAGGGAGGGTCAAGAATATGAATAAAAAACAGCTTGAATCATAAAATACCTAAAAATGTTAGAATTGCAGATGAATAAAAAAATTGGACTTACATCTTGCAGAAAGTTCGGTGGAGTGAACAAGAGGAAGTCTCTCGGGCAGACCTGACATGAAAATGATAAGACCAATGTTAGATCAATCAATAGGTTTGGAATCAGCTGAGGGACAGTGGGAAAGAGAATAAAATTATGATGCCAACCAGTGGAAGTGTAAAAAGAAGAAGAAGAAGCCGCGGATGGGGATTTTCTTCTGCCAAAAACTTTGATTTGCTGTCCTGAAACGAATCTATCCACAGAGAAGCCTTTAAGAGGGCCATCGTCATAAGATTCCATAGTGCAAGCAACCATGGATTCATCAAAGAAAGTCAGCTCTTCCGCATTTAGAAAGCTACATCCTTCAACTCTAATCCTCCCTCCTCCTCTTTGCTGCTGCGCCTGATCACCACCTTCTTCACCCCACAAACTCACCAACTCCTCCCACACCATTCTTACTTTCCCAATTCG